CTGCGGGGGCGCTGAAGACCACGTCATTCCCGATGAATTTGGATTAAGGTGGGAATAGGTTGGACTAGACTTGCTCGTAGTTTACAGCGACACCAGTTTGGGGAATGCGGGATGGGAGGAGGCGGCCCGAAAGTGGAGGCGCGCTGGGCATGTAGAGGCCGTGAGGTTTAAGATTTAAGAGATCTAGAGCTGGAGCCAGGAACACGTGGGTTCATTGCCAGCTCTGCCCTTTAGGAGCCCCGTGATCTCAGGCACGTTACTCAGCCTCTCTGTACCTGTTACTTATCAGTGACATGTCGATGCCAGTAGAATTTTGCTTGTAGAGGTACAGTGAGGAACAAATGAGGAAACAGTTGTTCTAACAATTATTATAATTATAGTCACTCCCTTCCTAGCACCAGCCTTAATTATAATGATAACACATTATGTTATCATATATAATTATTATTATTAAGGCTGGTGCTAGGAAGGGGGTGACTTGAGACCCTTTCCCCCCGTGTAGCATCTGTTCGCCGATCATTATCTGACTAGTCAAGCTCTCATAAAGGGATCAGATCAGGAAACCCTAACATGGAGGAACTCCCCAGACTCTAACCTGGAGATAACTAGTTGGGCCAGCCTAGCAGAACCCTGGGGAAAGGGCAGCACACTTGCTGCGCCCCTCCCTGTGCCCCCGTTGACCTGGCCCTGCGTCCCTGCAGGCCCGGGCATCCATGCAGGCTGAGATGGAGCTGAAGGAGGAGGAGGCTGCCCGGCAGCGGCAGCGCATCGAGGAGCTGGAGGAGATGCAGCAGAGGCTTCAGGAGGCTCTGCAGCTGGAGGTGAAAGCTCGGCAGGACGAAGAGGCCGTGCGCCTAGCCCAGACCAGGTAGGACGGAGGGGCCGCTCGGGTTCACCTCGGTGACTCCCCCGCCGCCCCACTCGCTGAGCACCTGCCAGGTGCCTTGGCTCTGGAGACAACACAGTGCATGCCTGGCAGGCTGCTGGAGGAGGAGGAGGAGAAGCTGAAGCAGCTGATGCAGCTGAAGGAGGACCAGGAGCGCTACATCGAGCGGGCGCAGCAGGAGAAGCAGGAGCTGCAGCAGGAGATGGCACTGCAGAGCCGCTCCCTGCAGCAGGCCCAGCAGCAGCTGGAGGAGGTGCGGCAGAACCGGCAGAGGGCCGATGAGGACGTGGAGGTGAGCCGGGGCTGAGCGGGGGTGGAGGCTGGCGGGGTGAGAGCGCTAACGATCGGGTGCTGGACCTTTCCTCAAGCCTGGGATGCACCCTCCTCTGGCTGTGTGACCTCCGTGAATTTCCTGACCTCTCTGGGTGCAAGTCCCTTACTGGGGAAGGGGGACTGCTAATATCATTGTTTTGAAGACTGAATGAGATAAATGAGAACATCAATGTGTGAGACACACAGATTGGTTGCCTCCCACATGCACCCTGACTAGGCCAGGGATCAAGCCTGCAACAGGGGTACATGCCCTTGGTCAGGATTGAACCCGGAACCCTTCAGTCTGTGGACCGACGCTTTAACCACTGAGCCAAACCAGCCAGGGCCACCATTAGCTGCTATTTTTATCATTATTAATCTGGGCAAAATTTTTCCTCCTACTCTTCCAAGACGATGTTTTGCTCTCCCTGTTTTTTTACATCCACTCCTCGGAGCCCAAATCTCCATAGAAGAGGGGTTTTCTATTTTGATGTTTTCTTTTTATTAATACTGGGGGTTTTGTTTGTTTTGTTTTTGTTGTTATTTTTAATCTTCAAGGATGTTTTTCCATTGATTTTTAAAGATAGTGGAAAGGAGGGACGAAGGAAGGGGGGGGCATCGATGGGAGAGAGACATGTGGATTGGTTGCTTCCCGCACGCGCCCCCGACTGGGGCTGAGGGTCAAACCTGCAACCAAGGGTACATGCCCTTGGCTGAGAATCAAACCCACAACCCTTCGGTGCGTGGGCCGATGTTCTAACCACTGAGCCACACCGGCCAGGGCAATATTGTTTATTTTATTTTGCTTTATTGGCTTACACGGTCATTGTAAAAAATTCAAACACAAAATATGTAACATAGAAAGGGAAAGGTCCTCTATGACCCCACCACCCGCTGCGAACGGCTGGGTGGACACCGGAGCAGAGGTTTTGCGTTGGTTCCTGGAGAGGTGGTGTGTGCCGTGGTGTAGAAGTCAGTGTGTGTCCCCAGGCAAATCGTTTAACCTCTTTTGCCCTTATTTGTTGTTAACTTCTGCTCTGGAGGTTGAATAAAATCATAAGTGTACTTAGCACATCTTAGCTGCTTAATAAATGGAAACTATAATTATGATTATTTTCGACCCTTTGGGAGGGGAGGTCTTATGAGTCCCCTGAAATTGGATACCAACTGTACATATACGTAACTCCGTGAATACACATGAGTCTTTCTGAGGAGGTGATCAGTAGCCTTCGTCACATTCACCCTGTCTTAGATAGTGGCCCTGACCCACTCCCCACTGGCTCTGCCCCACAGGCTGCCCAGCGGAAGTTGCGTCAGGCCAGCACCAACGTGAAACACTGGAATGTCCAGATGAACAGGCTCATGCATCCCATTGAGCCTGGAGGTGAGAGAAGGGTTGGCCCTGGAGCTCTCCCTGGAGTGAGGAGGGAGAAGGGAGGGCAAAAGGGATCCCTCCAGATCTGTACCGCCTGCAGGATGAAGGTCAGAAGGCTCTCCTCCTCCCTCAGGGCTGAGGCAAGGCCCGTCAACCTCTCCCCCTGCACGTACCTTTCTCCTACTCATGCCTGCCTTTTCTCTGCCAGACAAGCGTCCCGCCACCAGCAGCTCCTTCACAGGCTTCCAGCCCCCTCTGCTTGCCCGCCGCGACTCCTCCCTAAAGCGCCTGACCCGCTGGGGATCCCAGGGTAACCGGACCCTCTCCCCCAGCACCAGTGAGCAGCAGAAGTCCCTCAACGGCGGGGATGAGGCTCCCATCTCGGCTTCCACCCCTCAGGAAGATAAACTGGACCCAGAACCAGAAAATTAGCCTCTGCTAGCCTCTTTCCCCCCAACCTTATGCCCACCAGGACCTGGCCACAGCTGGCCTGTGGGTGACACTGGCCCCTGCGAACGAGGGAGCTGAGGACCTGGTGTCAGGGGCCGAGGCCCTCCAACCATGAAACGGTCCAGAATGGAACCTAGTTTATTTTTTGCATCAGCCTCAGGCCCCAGACCACTAAGGCTGTCTGGGATGTTGATCCTTGAGAACTCGATCCTGTGCCTTAACCCCAAGGATCCTATGCCCTGGGCCGGAAAAGAGTAAACAAGCAAGCCAGGGGCCATCTGCCCCTAGATGGCCACCCAAGTTGTGGAGGCCCATTTCCAAATAAAAACTGTTCTTGGAGTGCATTATTGATCAGGTCTGCTGTCTATTTTTCCTGCCATTTCCTCTCTCCTCCCTCAAGTCCAGTTACAGGTCCAAGAAAGACTAAAGGACAGGGCTAGGAGAGTACACCCTGCCACTTGCTGACGGGTGACTATGCTCAAGTTTCTTACTGCTCTGCACTTCGGTTCCCACGTTAGTAAAACGAGTAATAATAGTACCTACCTTATTGGGTTGTTGTGAGGATTAAGTGCTTGGTACATAAGCCAGCACTGTTGCTAGTATCACCCAGAAGTGTTTATTGAGCATCCATCTATTCTATGCCCTGCAGTTTCCCAGGTTATTTAATTCTCATGTCAACTCTGAGAGGCAGATATTAATATTCTTGTTTTCCATGGGAAGACATTCAGGCTCAGAAAGGTCAGGGAACTTGTCCAAAGCCTTCCAAACTAGCTTCTCTTCTCATATTATCTGTTTATTGATTGATTGATTGATTGATTGATTGATTTTTTAGCAAGAAAGAGAAAGAGAGAAACATGGATTTGTTGTTCCACTTATTTCTGCATCACTGGTTGATTCTTGTATGTGCCCTGACCAGGGGTGGAACCCGCAACCTTGGTGTATCGGGGTGATGCTCTAACCACCTTAGCTACCCCCCCAGGGTCTTCCCATATTATTTGATTCAGTGACCCTGACAGAGATTTGGGAATCTAGGATGACTTGCTGCCTCGCTGTCACCCACCTCATGCAAAAGCCATGGTCAAACCCAGTAAATTCTCTCTCCTTCATACTCTCGTATCTATCCCCCCTCTATCCCCATGGCTGCTGCCATGGCTAAGGCCTTTGTATCTTCCGCCCACATGCTCACCTTTGGCTCCTCCATCTTGCCCATATTGAATCGGTGCCCAAGTCCACTTGATTGGATTTTCTTGGTCACTCTCAAATCCACCCTCTTGGGGCCCTGTCTCATGGCCACTGCCTTACTCTGCCCCTCATCACCTCTCAAGTGGGTAAGAGCAGTCACTGGGTCTTCTTTTCTCCCCGTGGCTGCCTGAAGGGGTCTCTAAAATGCACATCTCTCCTCGACTTGCCCCACTTTCCAGTCTCGGTGGTAACCTGGACAGTCAAGTTCACATTCCCACATATTCCATGGGCATTCGGGGCCTGTGAACACCTGGCCCAGGAGGACATCCTATGCCTCTGCTTTATAGACCTACTAGCAGCTCCCTGTTTTTCTCCCTCTGGGCTGGCCCATGGGCTGTTCTTTCCACCTTTCTGTAACAGCCCCCATAACTAGATGCTTGACTTCCCTGAGGGCAGGGATGAATCTTCTTCCCCGTAGGCCCCTGGTGCCTAGCTTGCTGCTTGGCTCTTAGGAAGCATGCAAAGGATGTTTTTTAAATGAATTCATGAATAAATTCAATCTAAAATTAATGACTGGGTATCACACAGCTTAAAAGGGATGAAGTAAGATTCAAACTCAAGTCCATTCATTTATTTAACAATTAAGCTCTTATCATAATCCAGATACTGTGCTAGATGCTGGCTATCTGCACAGAACAAAACAGATAGAGCCCCTGCCCTCCTGGAACTTGTGTGCTATCTGATATCACAGTTCATGTCTTTTGCCAGTCCACCAAAGTCTATTACAAAGATTTTAATCTAAAGTATCATGAAACAAAGCTGCCAGTATAACACGATGCATGTTTTAGGGGTGAGAAGTGGGGTTCAAACTCTCAGTGCGGTGGGAATTCAGGAAAAGGGGAATCATTGGTAGGAGCTGGGATTTGAGATGGCCCTTAAAATTTTTAATAAATCAGAAAGGAGAGTAGGAAAACATGGGAACAATACAAGTAGAAGGAAGCATAACACATTTATGAGCACAGGAACTCTGGATTCTGGACATTGGATGGGAGGATCAGTGGTCCTCTATCGGTGTGGGGTATCTCTAGGGTACAAGAAGTTCTAAGACAATAAATTTGCAGATCCTCAGCTTCCAAGTTCTGTTTGCCAAAGTGCTTTCCTCTTTCACAATTTTGCCTTCCTTACTTTCAGTAGCAAGGTCATCATTCACCCATCCACTGTCTTTTTCTTTTTTTTTTATTAAATTTATTGGGGTGACATTGGTTAATATGAACATACAGGTTTCAGGTGTGGGTTTTTGTGTTACAAGATCTGTATAATGCTCTGTGTGCCCACCACCCAAAGTCAAATCTTCTCCCGTCACATATATTAGGACCCCCTTCACGCCCCACCCCCTTCCCTCTGGTAACCGCCACACTGCGGTCTGTGTCTATAAATTTCAGTTTCATATCCCACATGAGTGAAATCTTATGGGTCTTAGCTTTTTCTGACGGGCTTATTTCACTTAACATAATATCCTCAAGGTCCATCCATGTTGTTGCAAATGGCAGTACTTCACCCTTTCTCATGGCTGAGTAGTATTCCACTGTGTACATGTCCAGCATCTTCTGTGTCCAGTCCTCTGTCGCAGGACACTTTGGTTGTCTCCATGTCTTGGCCACCATGAATCAGGTTGCAATGAACATAGGGGTGCATATATCTTTGTGAATACATGTTTCTGAGATTTTAGGGGATATACCCCAGAGAGGGATTGCGGGTCGTATGGCAGCTCTGTTCTTAATTTTTTGAGGAATCACCAGATTGCTTTCCATAGTGGGTGTACCAGTCTACATTCCCGCCAGCAGTGAATGAAGGTCCCTTTTCTCCACAGCCTCTCCAGCACGTGCTGTCTGTCTTGTTCATCACAGCCACTCTAATAGGTGTGAGGTGTTGTCTCATTGGAGTTTAATTTGCATTTCCCTAATTGCTAGTGAGGCTGAACATCTTTTCACATACTTATTGGCTGTTCGTATGTCTTCTTGCGAGAGGTGTCTGTTCAGGTCCTCTGCCCACTTTTTGATTTGGTTGGTTGTTGAATTTTATGAGTTCTTTATATATTTTGGAAATTAAACCTTTGTCGGAGCTACTATTTGCAAATGTCACCTCCCATCTGGTTGGCTGCCTCCATCACTGCCTTTCAACAGCGGACTACCCAAAAGCGTGAAATTCCTGGATCACTGAACGCAGCTCCGATTTGAAACACCAGGGCAGGGCTGTGGGTGCTGGGAAAGTGAATGGCTCAGGAACTGGACGACAAATTCTTCTGGCTTTTCAGTCAGAAGGTTTCCCGATCTTCGCTTTGAAACCCCTGAAAAGTCATTAACAATATTCTTATACTAGATCCCTGTGATTTTGGGGGTCAAACAACTCAGAAGTAGATGCCATTGCTATGTCAAAACTCTCGAGTCCCATCTACTTATCAAGTGAACAAGGTTTCTCAGCTTTAAAATGAAAAATAAAAAGAATTGCTGCTGAATGCTGTCTCATTCTAACAACTAATATTCAACCTTGAACATCTAAACTGCCTGGGGAAGAGGGCTGAAGTAGCCTGTGAATTTCACTGATAAATACATTTCCAATGTGATATGTTGTGTTTATGGTTATTATGTGTAAAAATCATAATATTTATGTTGTTTTGCTCAACTGAGTGTTACTAATATTTGTAACGGCCTCTCAAACCAGAAAATATGTTCTCACTTAGAGCATTATAATTACATAAAACTTATAAAAAAATTAATTTTAACTTTTATACATATTTTGGTTGCAGAGATGTATGATATAGTGATCGATAAAAGACTTTCAAGCATAAAAGTATGTTGCATTAAACTTAGGTTGCTGAGGGAAAAGGGGAATGGAAATACAAGTACAAGAAGAAAAAGAGACAATTAAAATTGTTTACTGCTAAAGAAGAGCCTATTCGTGTATTTTTAAGATGGTTAGTGGTGAACATCAAATCGCTGTGGGATCCGAGTCTTGTTCAACACATTTAAAGGGGTGACAGCAGTTTTATATTAAAATGTCAATATTTCTTAAATAGTAGAAATCACATCCTTCCTCTGCAACTATTAAGTTTTAAACTAATGATGAAAAATATTAGATGTCACCTTTAAAATGTGCAAGGAGCTGCATAGTTCTTATATATTCTTTTAGGAGCGGAGGGGCAACAAATTTTGAAGACTATGACTATGAAGGACCTGTGACTAGAAAGGTACAGTGAGCCTGACTATAGACATTCTTGAAAGCCAGGGAGAGTTTAGACTTGAGATGGCAAGCCGACCTCTAAGCCTCAGTTTCCTCACCTCTAAGTGGGGTCCATTCCAGGCTTTTGAACGTGATGGGACACGTTCCTGTGATGGGACACAGGAAGGCACACACGGTTGGCGTGTGAGGTAGTGCCTGAATGCAATCCACACTGGGACTGGCAGGAGAAGCTATCCGTCTTGGGGGCCTTTACTAGGGAGGCTACCCAAGGAGGCTGATTACTAGGGGGCAGGAGGAGATATTTCCCAGTCTTTTCATTCCAGGGTTAGAATGTCATTCCTCTATCCTTTCCAAAATTCCGGACAAGGCCAAGTGTATCCAATCTTTGATGCCCTCATAGTTACCCATAAACTCCCCGCCGCATGGAAAGCACATTGTGGTCCCAGGTCATCCCGTTGTGGTTCGTATGTGAGGAGGTGTGACTGGCTGGAGAGCAAGAAGCTTGTTGCAAACTGTTGCCAGGATATGCAAGGTGCCTCCTCAAGGCGGTGTCTACCCAGCCCCAAGAGGTACCAGCTGAAAGCTGCCTCTCTGTCGCCCGCGGCAGGTGAAAGGGGGCGAGGCTACCCAAGGAGGCTGATTTCTGCAGGCTAAGGAGGGCCCCACCTGCTGGCTGGAGCCTGAAGTGGATGTGGGGGTCGGAATCCAGTGCAAAGCGGATCTGGCTCTTTATTCCACATCGTTGTTACCGGTCAGTCACACTGTAACTGGGCCTCGGAGCAGGGGTTCATGTGAGATCTCTGGCGGGTCTGGAAAAGTGCTGCAGAGGCTTGGCAGGAACCAACTTTTCCCACTTGGAGCTGTGCCTATGGGCAAATCTAGCCAAAATGAAGATTCGGGGGAAGCTGTATTTATTTTCTGGGTTTGTGACTCAAGTAACAGGCTGATTTAAGTAAAAAAGGAATTTCTTAACATAGTATAGAAAAGTTCCTTAAGCAATTGTGAGGATGAAAGAGCCCGTTTGGAGGCTGTGCAGTGAGGAATAATACCAAAAATCATGGCACACAGCAGTTCTCACGAAGACACCCCAGCTGCTGACCCCTCTAGGGACAGATGTTGCTGCTTCTG